ATTTTAGTACCTACCTACTTCTTATAAAGACCGAATAGGTACTTTTTAAACTAGAAACTATCCATCATTTCCTTTTACCTATCAATTTTTTTTTTCATTAATAGCCCATCTCTCTCACACTGCCATCATTATAGAACGTGTGCAAGAGACACATGTACCTAGTTAAATAGAAATCATGTTGAGGAGGTTTCTCGGCTATCATTAGGGCCATCTGGGGTTAACAACGCTTCATTGAACCACGTCCGGTCTAATATGGCGGCTCATAATGTATTACATATTACATCAGTGCTGATTACGGCTGAACATAATGTTTTTCATGCGTAACTTTAGAAGGCAGTTACAATATTGTAACAAAGGTAATTGAAAATTAATAAAGTCCGGCAAAAAATTTAAACTGTTGTCATCACAAGCACTGAATTTTTTCTAATGTAATAATAAATACTTGACTGTAGCTACTAAGCCATGCTTGCTTAGTGCTAAAAAAATGCGACTAAATGATAGATACACCTCTATATTAAATTCTTAGCTAATAACTGGTCAAAGATCGTTATTATTTGTAAAATTTTAGGCATAAAAATCGAAACTTTCCTAAAGCGGGCAAGAGCTTTTCCAAATGTGAAAGACTCTAACCTTTAACTGACTGATCTCAGGAAATAATCCTGAGACTGTATCTCAGATTCCACTACCCTTTTACTGGTATAGAGAAAAATATTTTTCATTAGTATGTTTTCTCAATAAGGTTCAAAATATGGTGGCAACAATTCTGCCACTACCAGGTAAAGGTTTAAGACATGGCCTGAGACAACCTCCATCGTACTGAGACGTTCTAATTCCGTTATAAGTTCGTTAACACAATCACAATCGCACCGATTGCGGTGTACTGCGCTTTGATTTTTTTTTTCTTTTAATTGAAATTAGTTTAACCGAAATTAAATAATCTGATCTCAGAAAACAATCCTGAGATTGTATCTTAGATTCCACTATCTTTAGATATGGCCTGAGGCTACCTTCATCGTACTGAGACGTTCTAATTCTGTTATAAGTTCGTTAACACAATCACAATCGCACTGATTGCGGTGTACCTACTGCGCCTTACCTTTAACTGACTGATCTCAGCAAAAAATCCTTAGACTGTATCTCAGATTCGACAATATCTCAGATTCGACTATATTTTAAGACCATGGCCCGAGACAACCTCCACTGTACTGAGACGTTCTAATTCCGTTATAAGTTCGTTAACACAATCACAATCGCACCGATTGCGGTGTACTGCGCTTTGATATTTTTTTTCTTTTTAATTGAAATTAGTTTAACCGAAATTAAATAATCTGATCTCAGAAAACAATCCTAAGATTGTATCTTAGATTCCACTATCTTTAGATATGGCCTGAGGCTACCTTCATCGTACTGAGACGTTCTAATTCTGTTATAAGTTCGTTAACACAATCACAATCGCACTGATTGCGGTGTACTGCGCTTTGATCAATTTGTGGCAGCTGCGAACAGTATTGGCCTTGCTGCTAATTTTGTATCTATTAATTCGCTCGTGATATGAGGCAAATTGGTAGAGACAAATTAAATCTGATGTTTATCTCATTTTAAGTAACTAAGTCTACATTTTGTTCTTCTCAGAAGTTTTTCCTAAATCTGTATTTTAATTCACTCACTATAAAAATATGATTTAAGTTTAAATGGGAACGTCCGAAGATCGTTAAAAAACATCACACTTGGTTCATGTAACCATTTTATGATAATCTCACACTCTTTACGTACAATCGCACATAGAACCTCTTTTTTTTAAATCGGTTAAAAAGCTTAGGTTTTTACGATACTAAGGCTGAGTTGCACCACCTAACTTTGACCGTAACCATGACGATAACCGATGGTTTTTGTATGGAGTTTGATGATTTTTGACGTTTGTCTAAGTTAAAGTAAGTTGGTGCAACCCAGCCTAAATGTAGGTACTCCATTAAAATCCTTTATCCTATCCTATCCTATAATCCTATTTATCCTATCCTATAATGTTATAAATGCGAAAGTTTGGATGTCAGGATGTCTGGATGTTTGTTATTCTTTCACGCAAAAACTACTGGAAGGATTTTGATAAAACTTTACAGTATTATTGTTTACAACCCAGAATAACATATAGACTATAATTTATGATGATCTGTGACAAATTTAATTTCACGCGGGTGAAACCGCGGGCAAAAACTATCAATTATAATTGAGTTCCTGAATGCTTTTTCTAAGTTACGTGCAAAACGGTAGATAAATGCGATTTTATACGACTAATAGCGAATATCAATACTGTCTAAAGTCCGAACTTGTCTTCAAGTTTGAAGTTTCCGAAAATGATAAAGTAGTAAAAATTCGTAGTCCAGAGTGCCAACTATCAGTTTTAATGTACAAACAGTGAAATAACTTAGTTCACTCTCTCTAGCGGCACCGCCGATAGTTTTAATGTGCACTGCTCCTTAGCACAATGTACGAAGGAATAACAGGCTCAGTCCACATTCGCTTTACAACACAAGATAATTTATCCTTCATAGTAGATAATTTTCGTAATCTAGTAAATGAAAAAGAATATTCTAATTCATAAAACTATCTTGAGAACACCCAAAGATAATCCCATTCTAAGAATCATACATTTATTTTTGTGAAGGATATTAGTAATTTATATTGTCCAAACTTCGTGATGTACTGTGGGCAGGCCTCCCACCAAGGTAAACCGACGATTTGGTGAAGGTTACGGGAAGTACCTGGATATGGGCAGCACCGGACCGGTCATCGTGGAAATCCTTGGGGGAGGCATTTGTCCAGCAGTGGACGTCATTTAGCTAAAACGAACAAACGATATCCCAAAATTAAATAATTTTGTTAGAGTGTATGGGAGAGTGGGTTCACTATAAATAGTCACCAGTTGATGCGACTGGCTCTGTAGAGTAGGGTGCTTTCTTAGATTTATTTATTTTTGTACTAACAAAATACTAGAACTTTCTATTCTAATCTATGTTTTTCTTTAAAACTACCGTGACCTCCTGTGGTTCATTAGGGCCTACTGAACATAAGTCTGTTCTAAAGTGTGCACAGCGCAGTATATTAAGTTAACGGCCAGCAGGAATTATGGTGGGTCAAACTTGGAGACTGCGGCTTAATAGGCGGCTTTATTGTGCCAAAATGTTTAATCTTTATCATCTACTTTTAATATTCTTGATATAAGACCGGGGTTCGGCAAAAATTATACAGCGGTTAGGGTTACAATACAAGCAGACCATGATTAACAAGCTGAAGAGGCAATGGGCAATGCACGTAGTACGCAGAACTGACGGCCGATGGGGCAGCAAGGTTCTGGAATGGAGGCCGCGTACCTACCGGAAAACGCAGCGTGGGACGTCCACCTACAAGGTGGACCGACGACATCAAAAGGTAGCAGGGAAGCGCTGGACGCAGGCCGCTACCAATCCATCAACGTGGAAAGCATTGGGGGAGGTCTATGTTCAACAGTGGACGTCCTATGGCTGAAATGATGATGATGATGATTGACCAAATTCAATTCGTTAAAAAATTATGTAGACCTTTTAACTTCTCTAGTTAAGCTAAATATTATGCTTGTTCCTTGGATATCGTATCGGCGAGACCGATACCGACACCGTTAGGCCATTGTCGCCATATTGTGAATTATGCAAATATGCATTCTGTTAATAAATTAAATAGCAAAAAAACATTAAAATCAATAACGAACTTAATCCAATTACAATACTATTTTTTATAACATCTTAGGTAATACCCAACATTAAATAAGTTTGTAACTTTGTAATCTAACTTCAATACTCACTTTAAAGTAATGTAAACCGTAAACATTTCACGCTGATAAAAGGAGGAAACTCTATAAAACACAAATAGATACTAAAAGCTGAAGCTAATCCGAAAGTTTCTAAATCTTGGTGCACTAAGTCAAAGTTTAAACTAGCTGGTTATCAGTTAATCTTTGTCTACCAACTGCACTGTTTCGACTTTGTCGGAGAAAAACTGTTACAGAAACAGTAACAAAAGTGATAAGATCTGAAGCAATAGAGAGAACTGTATCATTGATCGTGGAATAGAGAAATAAAGTAAAATAACAAAGTGTATTTTAAAGAAATTTCGCCAAATTCTATTACAATTAATAATGCGATTTAGGGGCCATCCATAAAGTACGTCACACGAATTTCATGATTTTTTNATTGAGTCTTAAATGCATGTTGGCTAAGCCTTTGAATGGGAAATTTCACTCCAGTCTTTCGATTATCGATAGTTCGGGCTTTGCGATTCGATTTTCTGCCGTTTAGCTAAGCCTTTTTTGTTATCGACCTCTTTTGCGATTTGTTTATTTGTTTGCGATGGGTTTGCGATTTTAAAGTGCGTTTTGACTAGACCCATGGACTACTGACAGTTGACCTTCAAAATGGCGGAGGCGGCTAGCTGTCGCCACCTGCCGGCGGCAGCCGCGAACGCATCGACAGCACGGCGCGGCGGCGGCATGTCGACAGCTAGCCGTCGCGTCTAGGGTTGCCAGGTCCAAAATCACAAAAGCCGGACTTTGTGCTTCATTTGGCCGGACATTTTACCCTAAAAGCCGGACATGTGACGGGGGGGGGGGGTGTTAATTAGTGTCAAGCTCATGAGTGAGTACTATCATCATCGGTTGCTAAACAACATTCTGATGCGTGCGCTTCATATGATTCTGTGGCTCGACTTTCACCTGGCGCGCGCAAATAAAAAGCCTAACAAAAGCCGGACAGGCCGGACAAGGCAATATTTGGCCGGACAAGTCCCTAAAAAGCCAAACATGTCCGGCTAAAGCCGGACGCCTGGCAACCCTAGTCGCGTCGCCTTCTGACGTCGACTGCAGTTCCATGCGTCGACAGCAAATTGCTGTTCGTGTGTAAGAACCCTTAGGTTTTACCTCAAGAACACGGTCAATGTATGAAAATAGGCCTTTATATGTTGGTGAAATGAGATCTAAAATGCACATTCATTTCAGATACATTTACCTAAACGAATCGCCTTTGGATAAAATTGAAGATGAAAAACAAATAATTAGTTTTTGGTATGCTACAACGTGGATTGAGTTTGACAACTTGAGAGATAAATGTTTCAACATGATTAAAATAAATGTTTCTACCTGTTTATTTGCATATTATTATGGCAAAACATTGCTATTACAGAATCCTTATTATAACAACAAAGTATTTTCAAGATGTCAAAAGGTGAGTAGCTAATTAATTTATTTATTAGGACGAATTTATGTAATTACTTAGTTACTTTTTATTATTGTCTCGTGGATGGAACCCTTTAATACGAGAGGGGACAGTAAGATACCCTACCGTCACTTGAGGTACCTACCTACTAAAGTGGCCCCGACACGATCAATCGCGATTGTCAATTTTATTCTACTTGATTGTCAATTGACATTGATCGTAATGATCGTTTACAAAAGGCATTGAAGCGATTGTCAATTGAATTTACGCGATTGAAGCAAATTGATGATATTTTGGTGCCATTAAAGCTAATATTGATCGTTTCGCTGAGCAATTGACAATACTAATAAAACTTACACGCTCGTTGAACAGTGTTTTAGAGTAGGTGCACACCGTTGATTATTCGTCGGCCGATAGTTTAGTCGGGCAGTTGATCAGTATGGGCATGTATTGGGAGTGCGCACACTACGCCGATTCGATTTGGCCGATTCTTCATACAAATTAAAATCGGGCACAAGCGGCACAACCATGAAGCTATTGGGCACAACACAACTATCGGCCAACTAAAAATCAACGGTGTGCGCCTACTCTTAAAGTGACGTTTAGTATGGAAATGTCATTTTAAAACAATGATCAACCACTGTGTAACTTTTTATTAGTAAGGGGGTAAATGTTTTATTTACAGTCAAAACTCATAATAATCGGTCAAACTTACTTTGGACTGCAAAAATCAGTCAAAAATGGGTTTGACTTTTGACCAAGGGGGTCAAATCACATAACATTTACGTTTAGGTAGGTAACTACACTTAAAAGTTGATTTAAGTATAACTTTGATGATTCCCTAGTAATTTTCACTAAACTTTGTATGAATTTTAACTTATTGGTAAAATTTTAAACCACTTTTGACTGTTCGCTGCAGTCAAGGTGGTGTTGACACCAAAAATAACAAAATTACAAAATTGGTTTTGACCAATTGTGAGTTTTGACTGTAACATAAAATTATGCAGCCGAAAGTCCATTTTTCAAGATTTAAAGCTAATAATTAATAAGTTATTTTACTTCTTACTTTATGTTTACCTACACAGTTGATTGCTGTGAAAACTCCAGATATTTTAGCGAGGATTGTGGACGACGACATACAGGCTGACCTTCTAAAGTACGTGTTTGCAGTAAAGGTGATGGTGTCGGAAAGTGAACTGGAGTTATTTGAGACATTGGCTAAATATGCTCATGCGCACGGTTGGAAACCCAGCGAGCAATATTATGAAAAGGTAAGAGGGGTTCTAGGGCAGTGTCAGGCAGTGTTCCGCAATTTTTTTGTGTTAAAGGTACATCTGGAACAAATTTTTTTGGAGGTACACCGCACGTCATGAAAAATCAATTTTTAAGTTAATTACTTATTTTTATTACTCTTAACCCTTACTTATTTACTAAAAATAAGTTTAAGATAATCTTATTTTTCCGAGGCACACCATCTAATGACCACGGTACATCAATGTGCCGCGGTAGTTAAAATTTGTTAAATTTTATACCCCGTTACATACGAGGTGAAAACTATAGGCTTTGACTAACTACACTGTATCTATGCAATTTATGTATTTATTTATTTTATTTATTTATTTATTATTCATTATTGAGCAATTACATATTTGATCCAAATAGCGTCCTAAATCCTCTTTAGGTTTGTAAGCTGTTTGTTTTCTGAATAAAACAAAATAAATAAAGGGTAGTATTTAACTGCAAGTAAAAAAACATTCTTTTACATACTAAAAAAATCAAAATTCTAAGCAAAAATACTGATTGCACAGCAAAATAATTACCTAAAAATAATAAAATCTTAGCAGCAATTTAAGTTCGTGACGCATTGCTATTTATTTAAAGAGTGAAGCTATTTTATGAATGCATATCTAATAATAACTTGCGCATAGTAAATGTATTACATAATTTATTTAAAAAAAGGAATATTATTAAATGCACATCAAATAAAATAACATAATATACAACGTGCTCTTTTTGATTTCCTGGAACTCTAGGGTATTAATAAGACCACTTCATGGAATGGAATGGCATTACAATTTTTGTTAAATTTAACATTTTTTTTCGACTTATTTTTTCATACGAAATTATTTAAAAACTTTATTTTTCACTGAAATAATTCATAATTTACATACACTTATCAATAAAAAGTCTGCACAAAAAGACTAGGTGACAATTTTGAAAAAAAAAAACTAGATTGATGATAATAATAATAATAATAATATAAGCCTTTATTACTGGATTACAAGGTATTTTTACAACATTAACATTTCATTTTACAATTTAGTTGCACTCATCTCCAGTTTGTACCTACTTGGACATAGGCCTCCTCCAATGATCTCCATGCTTCTCTGTTTCTAGCCATTTGTGGCCATAATGGCCCTGCTAATTCGCGGATATCGTCCTCCCATCTTTTCGCTTGTCTGCCTCTGCTTCTTTTTCCTTCACGGGGATACCATTCCGTTACGGCTCTTGTCCATTTCTCTTTCTTTTCCCTCATTAGGTGTCCCATCCACTTCCATTTCAACTTTCTAATTGTTGCAACAACACAAGATAAACCTAAACACAATAAAATCAAAAACCAAATTCAGAAGATTGATGATACTATAATCTAAATCCACTATCTTCTAAATCTAGGATCCACAATGTCTTCAAAAATATGCTTTTAGAAACACATATTCCTAAGACTCTTTAACTAGTTTTTATTTATAGAACATACCCCTTAAATTTCCGGAAAACAAAAGGAGCACGTTGTACTATAAATAAATCTTTGGACAATTTCACACATCGCCAGCTAGCCCCAAAGGAAGCAACTTAATGCTTGTGTTATGGGTGCTAGCTTAACGGATATATACTTTTTTTTTAATACATACATATTATAGTAACACCCAGACCCGTCACAGAAATTAAAATTCATCATTTCATTTCTGCCCGGCCGGGAATCGAACCCGGGACCTCTTGGCATAGTAGCACGTTCTGAACCACTACACCAAACGGCCGACTATAACGCACATCAATTCAAATAACTTTTACATCAAATAAATTAGTACATTGCAAATAAAAAAATTGTTTAGCAAAACTAGTACTAGAAATAATTCGAAACTACACATCAAAAGTGTATTGTATTTTTTTTCTCAAACGCGCAACAAAAAAGTTGTTTGATGTACATAAATATTATTTTCTCATCAAATAAACTATTCTTGCAACATTTTTTCGCATTATTTCTTAAAGTTGAACTGAAAATCTGTTTTGCGTCTTTTTAACACTTTTTGCCGTTCAATAATGCAGTCCTGATGATCCACCTACGTGAGTCGGCGACTTTACACCGACAAACAAAAACAGTGACATGATTCGTTTGAAATAAGGCCGCCGACACCAAGTCGCCGGACTTGGTGTATTGTGTACAAGTGAGATAGATTTAAAAAAATGCAGGATGAATGATAAATGTACCTAACTGTCCCCTTTTTTTAAATAAAGTACATTATGCAAGCATTTATAGGGCTTGCGATTCGACTCAAGTATGTCACATCACATCGCCTGCAGAGGCCAAAAACATACCTATTGGCCAAAAACGCAAGCATGGACGTTCGATTATTATGACAAATAAAATGATATTTCATTTAGATAAACTGCAGTGCACGATAGAAAAAATGAGAGTATTTTTTTTAATAAATGATGTAATACTGATACATTTACTGTCGTCGTCGTCGTCTCAGCCAAATGACGTCCACTGCTGGACAAAGGCCTCCCCCAAGGTTTACTGTGCCGAGTTATTATGCATTCATAAAATAGCTTCACTTTTTAAATAAATAGCAAAGCGTCTCGAACTTAAATTGCTGCTAAGATTTTAATATTTTGAGGTATTTTTTTGTTGTGCAATCAGTATTTTTGCTTAGAATTCGGATTTTTTTAGTATGAAAAAGGATGATTTTTTGACTTGCAGTTAAATACTACCCATAAATAAATACCGTTTGCGGAACACTAGTTTAGGGTGCACGCACGGGGTGACTTATTGTCACTGGGTTGCACCATCTTACTTTGACTTTAACAAACGTCAAAAATCTGTCATACTCCATACAAAAAACAGCGGTTATCGTTATAGTTAGTAGTTACGGTCAAAGTTAGGTGGTGCAACTCAGCCTAAGTAGTCTATGCGTGGCTTGTGGCGTGGCAATATTAACCGTAACGATATTTTGTCTGTCTGTTTCTTTTACACCTTTTTAAAAATAGAAAATAGAGATAGTACTGTCACGGTGACTAAAATTAATATTTTATTGAACTAGAGGTGCAGTGTAAAATGTCCAAGGATAATAATTTATTTAATACCTATATTTATTTATTAATATTTCTTTTTTATTCCCGTTGTGCCCACTCCTCCGGTCGGTGGGATTCAATGGAAATAAAAAAACCCACAAGTGTGGACAACGGGAATTAATAAATCATTGGGAAAAAAATATCATCAAGTCACACCCATGGTCATTAGTACACCGTTATTTTCTCGTTGGATTCTCACAGGACTAACCTGTGTTAAATTGGCTTGCTATCTTCGTTTTATGTTACAGGATAAAAATGGCGAAGAAAATGCTACCTTTCAAAAGAAAATACGCGACGCTCTAAAAGAAATCGGGTTCTTAAGCATGACGCTGAAGGAATTCGAGGAAGGTCCATCCAAGTCGGGGTTTTTGACTGAGGAAGAAGTGACAATGATCCGGAAAAAAATAGCAAATGACAGTCCTATGCATCCAGTTGGATTTTCGAGACAAACCACGAAACGTCGATATGAGATTATGCAGCAGAATGATGTAAGCATTTTGAGTTCTTGAGCCTACGCTAAACTCTCTACTTAATTAAAAATACAAATACTTATGCCACTGACCTCTAATTATTATATAAGATGGAATTCTGAAATGCCACCTGGAAGGAAAGCACTCTTAATATTGTAGATAGAAAATTTTACTCAAAGAAAACATTCCTGCNAACAGCAGTTCCGAAATTAGTTTTATTTCCATTTAAATTAAGTATTTTTTTTATGAAATCAACATTATATCAAATATTTGAAACAATCCAAATGTGATGTCACGAAACTTAAGACCCCTCCCACCCCTTGTCACACCATGTCACACTTTATCGACCCCCTCCCCCCCACTTTACGTGTGACGTACTTTATGGATGACCCCTTACGGTAAATGGTCAGTCAGATGTCGTGAAAGGCAACTATGGGGTAAATATGCGAACATCAAGCCTCACTAACCATCAGCAGGCTCTGGCTAGCGTGGGAAGTGTAGGCCTTTTCCATTTCATCGTCATAATCATCATTCCAGCCACAGGACGTCCACTGTTGAACATATGCCTCTCAATGATTTCTAGAATGACTGGTTGGTAGCCGCCTGCATCTATCACCTTCCATTCCAAATTTTCCATTTGCCTCTGGTAAATTGCAGAGGGTCGTGCTCCATCAGTGACCTTATGACGATGATGAAGCTACTGAGGCGAGTAGAAGTTACCAATATCATCGTTTGCTCGCGAGCGAAGATTGCTCGCGTTCGCCTACGTTCGCCGATCAATGTTCCGTCATTTACAGAAAAGTTAATTCTAAAAATAACACAAAAATAGTTCTTATTTTCCTTTAAACCTTCATAATATTGGCAAAGATGTATACATGGTAAGTCAAAAGGCTATCAAATAAGCATTTAACTCGAACTTCAAGCCCAAATGTGAGGTCGGGCGTAAATCTAACAGGTCCGCACTTAACATAAAATACCTATAGCTATTTAGTATCGACAAAGAAATTCTTTGAGCATGTAAAGGGGTATTTAGTCGCTTGTTTTAGAAAGGGTAGATATTGAGGGCTATTAAAAAATAAATGTGTCCGTAACGGTTTTAAAGTCCGGTTTTCGAGCAAGAGGTCTGAGGTTCGGTTCTGTAAAAAAAAGTACTTAGGTATAATTCTAGTTACATACTGAATTTCCAAATTGAAACTTATTTGAACATGAGACTTCAAACTTGGTAAAAGTCGCATCCGCTAAAACGTATTTCAGGCCGCCTTTGGCTCGATGGACTGACGAATCCAAGAAAATAGTTGACATGATAGAGCTGGTCAACAGAACTAGTGATCACGCTACAGCAATGGAGTGCAATTGATATCTACTTATTATATTAACCGACTGAATTATACAGGCGAAGTCAGGGTAGCTTTACTTACAAACGGTTTGTTAAATGTTCTGCACGATTAGGTAGGTACATTTAATATCATATTTCAACTTATGTTACGTTCATCTTTATAAAATCTTAAAATACCGCCTAATTGCAAATCTCCGTGTAAAAATGGAAACATTTTACTTTGTACGGGTACATCTTTTAACATAGCTCATGTAATCATATTCTTTGAAGGAAAACTTCGTGAATTTATTATTATACCAGTTGGCTTTAAGTTCACAAATAAGCTACTAGTGATGGGACCCTGTCGATGGTTACGACATATCGATGTGACAACTATAGAGATGTATCACGTTTGTCTGAAAAGAAACAATTCCTTTCATTGTTTTGGAAGGACGGTTGAAAAACGATCGATGTTTTTTATTACCTACTTGCTCAAAAGGTTGAAATAAATTTTGAAGATGAAGTAACAATAAAAATGTTTGATGAAAACTCAGCAAATTGAATTATCACATAACAATATAATTTTCTTATTATTTAGGTTTAATTAAACCTAACTATTAATAGTCACCAAGCAATATTAGCATGCAAAACATCATGGTTTCATTTCTCTATCTGTTAAATTAATGTTTATGTATTTAACTGGTTTGCGATCCTTTTCCAGATACATAATATAGGCAAGGTTAAATCAAATCAAATCAAATCAAAATTATCTTTATTGGTTTAGACTAATTAAATTACTACTTCAACAAATCGTCAAATGCACTTAAGTTTCATTCAGCTGTCTGTTAAATTAATGTTTTTGTATATATTTACTGGTATGCGATCCTATTACATGATTTATGCAAGGTTAAATAATAAATTCGTACTTGTCGATAATAATATTTTCCCATCCCTTGATTTAGACATGCAGTCATAAAAGTAACTTTCATACAAAGTCTCTGAACTTTACAATAAGCATCATATTTTAAAATTTTAAAATATTTCGTAGCATTATTATCAAGTTGTTGCAATAGATTGTAACTTTTTGGAGACTTTTCTATAAAAAAGCCCGTTTTTATTTATAAAACAGCAAAACTTTTTGATAGACTGTAGTCTTTCGAGTACAGTGGGCTGAGTGTGAGTTAACTTCAAACGTACTCACTAGTGAGCGCGTTAGAAAATTGTAGTTCTTGACCGGTTCCGCTAGGGGCGCTGTACAATCCGTCATACATAAAATGTCATTTTTTTACCTGCTCACTAGTGAGCGCGTTTCGCGTTTGATGTAAACTCACTGATCTCATTTAGTGTTGTTTTACTCTGGAAATATTCTGTAAAATTGGATGATCAGCATTTAGAATTATGTAATTTGAACCTACCTATTACAAATGAATATCTTTATTACTTACAAATGTAGAGTTACGACGACATCGTAAAGGTAGCAGTGAAGCGCTGGACGCAGGCCGCTAGCAATCGATCAACATGGAAAGCATTGGGGGAGGTCTATGTTCAGCAGTGGACGTCCTATGGCTGAAATCATGATGATGATGATGATGTAGAGTTTGAAGCTACTCTGTTGGCGATTGATGTATTTTTTACTTTGTATTTATTTTTGGAATCTGAGAAAAGTNCTTGCTGTCTCTCTACGATGTGCATGCTCCGCTGCGACCTGTTAAACTTAAACATCTTCCTGCTCCTTGGATCTCGAGAGAAGTGCGTGCGGCGATGAACCGCCGTAATAGGGCTTTCCTCAACTTCAAACAAAATCGTTCTGACATAAACTGGTGTAAATATAAAGTTGCAAGAAACCGTTGCAATCAGATGGTGAGATCAGCCAGACGCGGTTATATCCATGATAACATTAACAACGCCTCGTCTGCGGATGTGTGGAAGTTCCTCAAAACACTGGGTATTGGCAAACGCCCTACCACACTTTCTCACTCCTCTTTCTCTTCTGATGAGCTAAACACCCATTTCTCCTCTGCTTCCACTTTGGATCCGCTCATCAGATCACAAACTATCAACGAGATAACTTCCACAACTCTTCTACTTCCCGAGGTGTTTATGTTTTCTGCTGTGTCTGGTGATGAGGTCAGGAAAATTATCCTCTCCATCAAATCCAAAGCCGTAGGTTTTGATGATATTAGCCGTACCATGATCCTTATCCTCCTCGAATTCCTTCTCCCTTTCATTACCCATATCATTAACTTTTCCTTATCCTCTGGTGTGTTTCCTCGCAACTGGTGCAAAGCCTTTGTAATCCCTCTACCCAAAATACCTAATCCTTCCACCTTAAATAATTTTAGGCCCATATCCATATTACCATTCCTCTCAAAAACCCTAGAGGCGGTTGTTCACTCCCAACTGTCCAAACTCATATTCACAAACAACCTCCTCAGTCCTTTCCAATCCGGTTTCCGTCCTGGCCACAGCACCAGCACTGCACTGCTCAAGGTGACGGAAGACATCCGAATGGGAATGGAACATGGCCAACTTACATTGCTTGTACTCATTGATTTCTCCAATGCCTTTAATACAGTTGACCATGAAGTCCTCCTATCGTTGTTATCCAGATACAATATGTCACCAGTTGTCATGGATTGGTTCGCCTCATACCTCTGCGGACGCCAACAGGCCGTACGCATAGATAAAACTATTTCCCACTGGCGTGACCTCGTGACCGGTGTTCCGCAGGGTGGTATACTTTCCCCTCTCCTTTTCTCTATTTTTATCAATTCACTCACCTTCGGTATTGGCTCGTCTCACCATCTGTATGCCGATGATCTTCAACTTTACCGACATTGTCGTTTTGACGAAATTGACCAGGCTGTACATCGCTTAAACGATGACCTTGAACATATCAGGGAATGGTCAAATCGTTACGGCGTTGCTGTTAATCCCAACAAATGCCAGGCTATAATAATCGGGAGCCAGCGACAACTCTGTCGTTTAAATATGAATAGTGTCTCAACTGTCACTTTTAATAGTGTGGATATACCATACTGTACTAGTGTTAAGAACCTTGGCCTATACCTTGACTCTACTCTTGGCTGGACGACTCAGGTCTCAGAGATTAGCCGGAAGGTCACTGCCACATTGCGTTCTCTTTGCAGATTAAAATATTTCCTTCCTGTCAAAACCAAGATTTTACTTGTCCACGCCCTAATTTTCCCGCTCATAGATTATGCTGATGTGTGTTATCCGGACCTTAATCAAGTTCTCCTTAACAAACTGGACCGCCTTCTCAACAGTTGCATCCGGTTCATATTTTGTCTACGTAAATATGATCACATCTCCTCCTACCGATCTGAGCTCAAATGGCTACCTGTTCCTCTACGGCGTAATGCCAGAATTCTCACTACACTTTTTACCATCCTAAACGACCCTAATGCTCCTTCCTATCTTAAATCTCAGTATACTCTTTTAAGTTCAACTCATGTTAGGCAACTTCGTTCCTCCAACAAACTTCTTCTTTCTACCCCATCCCACCGCACTGGTTTCCTCTCTAATTCATTCCTTCTCCAATCTATTCGCCTTTGGAACGCTCTTCCCGAGAACATTAGGCAGGCTCCCAGCAAGTTTGTGTTTAAATACTCTGTGCGCAAGCATTTCCTTGAACGTATCTCGTCGTCTTGATCTCTCTTAAACCTTCTCGTTATCCACCTTATATTATGTATATGTATGTATTTACGTAGGTATATATTTTGTATTAATATATTATAATATTTT